GAGGAAGAGGTGAAGTGGAGATAATAAGGGACATCGAATAGGCCCAACCATACAAGCTGTTCGAAGCTTTCCGAAATTGTCCGAGGCCCCGAAGAGCATCTTATCACACGGGACAGCCAACCAAGTCAACATTCCTGTCCTCCTGCTCCTACACGTCTCCCTCCTCATCCTCCTCTTCGCCATTCGCATCATCTTCTTTATCATCCTCCCTCCAGGCCAGACTATACGTGCCAAGGCCGCACCAGACCAGACCAAAAGGGAGGAGGATGTGGACAAAATACGTGAGCACACGCAAAAAGGACACTACCTATGTTCCTCAACCCCCTCCCACCAACGTTCCCGTCTGATCCTTATCACCCTTCATCTTGCTCCGCGTCCTCCTCCACATTCTCTTCCTAATCCTCCTTTTCCTGCTCCCTCCTTCGTCCATGTTCTTTGTGCCCCACCCTTGTCCGCCACTTCTTTAGCTCCTCGCGACGAACAGGTTTCTAGCATGTCACAGGGCCACAAGCGCAACACTATGAAAACATGAGCAGGCCGAGGGGCACGTGAAGAAAAGAACAAATGACCACCAAATCTAATAATCGGAAACGGCTCCGTGCTTCGCGCACGCGCGCCACCCGCGCAACCCAAAGAGCATCGCGAGTGTGCCACAGAAAAGAGGCGCGACACTGGCAACTGGACTCGTACCCCTGTCGATTGGAAACACATCGCGCACGTGTTCGCCATTTCCGGTCTGGAAGCCATATCTGGGCCCTGGGACAATCAAACAAGACTCGTAATGAACAGGTGAGATGCCATGCCAAATTCCACACCGACGTACATCGTGTCCCAGCTCATCTAATGACACGCGCAGCGCACACACACCACACGCAAACACGAGCACACATACCTAACAACACACACACACAACACACACAACACCCACATACACGCCAAAACACAACACAAACACACGCACACAAACACACGCACACACACACACACGCACACCATAGCATGCGCACATCGACACAGGAACAGGCACAAGCACACATACACACAAAGACACACACATTTTTTTCCATACCGCGAACCCGAACGAACGCGACCAGGAGCACTAGAGGCAGAAAAAGGAGCAATGGCCCCGGACTCGGGTAGAACGTAACACTCGCGAAGAACCTGCACAAGCAGCAGGGTTGCCCTGCGAACGTGGCCGAAATTCTGACCGCAAACTCGTGCAGACAAGGGGGAAGGAGGAGGAGGAGACAGAGGAAAACCCAGATAGCCAATGATACGAATTCCCTTTAAGACGTATCCAACAGACTCGTTGAAAACGCCAGGGGGGAAATTCTGTACAAAACGGTCGTTTTGTACGGAATTTCCCCCGCGCCCTCCCGGGCGTCAGAAATCACATTCGCCCCTGCACGCCACGCAACTGAGACCGGTACACCCAAAGCGCATTGTCCCCAGCGCTCTGATGCCGAAGGTAAGCATGAGTTGTGTAACAGCTATACACATGAAGTGAAACGGCCTTGTGAGAGGGGTGAGACGGGGAACAAAGTAAGAACTGGCGGAGCGACCAATTTGACAAATCAAGCTGCAAATAGCGACGGCCTGCCTCCACGAAGACCGGACAACGCCAATAATGTTCGATCGAATCGGACCCTGAGGTCTTGCAGCAGACGCACGGGGCTTCCTTTTGAAAACGCCGTGCGGTTGTCCAGCCATTGAAAAGAGTATGAATACAGGCAGAGAGGACACACGGAGGAACCTGTCGTCGCAACGTGGACATGTTGCTTGCAGAACACTCCGCGCAGACGCGCAGTTTCGACGGTCCTAAAATGTGGCTCCACCTTTTCAAACGTCTTTGGATGGCCTGCACAGGGCACGCCGGAAACAAGCGGCCATGCAATTGCTTGTAAATCGCAGCTTGGTCGGCCCTAGCCTCACCGCGAACCGTAATCAATGAAACTCCCAATGTGTTGAGCCGGGTTCGTGCGCGATCCAAAACACGGACGGCCAAACGATCAAGCCGCGATTGCCACCTCCACAGCAGCGGAGCATGGTCACTCAAGGCAACGCGCTGCAATAAGCTGAAGCTGGTGCGCCAATCAGGGCATGTAGTAGACAAGGTCCTACCCGCAGAAGCCAGATGCAAGGCCGTCATAGACCGAAACGGCACTGGTAACCCAAGCCGGTCGAGATTGAATTCGTACTTCGGGGGCAGCCAGTTCCCTGGTCCAGCGACCAGTTTGCGAAGCATCGCACGCTCGGTCTTCAGGAAGTCAGCGGTCGGCTCGATCAGCTGCAAGACGAACCCCAGCACGCTGATGGCGATGGAGTTGCACAGCAATGCAGTGGCAGGCAAGCCGAGTGAAAGATCTTTGATGTACTGGACTCTGCCCACATACTTGCGCATAGGTGCCAAGAGAGATAACGAGCCCGCTCCCGGACCGAGGAAGAAACCGAGGTATTTGCCAGAAGAGTCACACAAGAACTCGCCCCAGAGAGGAATCTCTTCTTTGAGAAGCCGTGCGAAGCGTTCCAAAGAAATCGGCCACAAGGGAATGATCACACATTTCCGAGGCTTGCTCTTGAGATTCGAAATGCGTGCGAACTCGTTGAAAAGGAATGCTGTGACAGGCCCGTCAATCCATCACCTCCCCAGTATGATGGCGACGTCGTCGGCAAAAGCCCGCACTAGGCAGCGGTCGCCCAAGTTATGAACCAGTGCTCGAAGAAATGCGTCAATTGCTATAACGAACAGCGTAGGGCTGAGGGGGCAACCTTGCTTCACCCCAGAAGTAATGGTGAAAACTTCAGTTATTATCCCGCCAAATCGCCAAACATGTGCGTTGCCACGATATAGCTGCTGCACGGCCGTGATGATGGACACTGGAATTCCGATCGCTTCCAACGTCATCCACAGAAATGCTAAAGACAAGCTCGGAAATGCGGCGCCGAAGTCGTTCAGCAGACAAGCTGGGCACGGACTGCTAGGCCATGCTGCCGGCTGACCGGGTTCCTGCGAATCTCTAGCTAAAGCTGCGGTGGCCATATGGGTCTCCACCTCGATGACGTTGTCGAGCATTTGCCGGCCTTTGATAAATCCGCGCTGTGGGTCAGAGGCCCATTTGCTTACCGCGGGCTCCAGAATCCGGTTGATTGAAGCAGCAAGTATCTTGACATCAGAGTTGCCCAGTGACAGCGGGCGCGTGTCGGGCACGGTGCGGAAGCCTGCGGGGCCCGAGGCTAGATCGTGACCTTTAGCAAGCAGGGCCAGCCACGCATAGTTGGCATCGCGAGGTAGCGGCGCGCCGGCTAGCCATGAAAGCAAGGCAGAATACAGCACACGTTGGCACCATTCGGGCGCATGCCGCCAAGCGCCGTAGGGCGCGCCATCGGGCCCAGGGGCTGAGTCGGTGAAGCCAGAGAGAAGCTTGGAGAAGTCGTCGAACGAAATATCCCATTGAAGGCGCGGCAGCTGCACAGCGTACTTGTCCAGAAAGATTTTGCCTGCCTGCTCATCGACAGGCTGCGCGGTGAAAACTGGACCCCAGTAGTCAGCAACGGCAGCATGAACGACCGTATTATCGGTAATTGGGAGACCTTGGTTGTCGATGAGACCTCGGAGGCCTGCACGCCGGCGCTTCGGTGAAAACTGAGCAGCCCACGCTATGAGTCCAGACCGCTTCCGGCTCTTGTAGAATTCCGGGAGGTCGGCAGCATCCTCCAGCTCCTGCAGTCGCTCCTCGGCCGTCGCCTGGCTGAGGCGCTGAATGAAGGACTCCACTTGAGAGAGCACTGAATGAGTCCAGCTCGAGGGGCAGCAGTTGCCAAGAATGTCCTGGAGGTCGGAGCAGACGCCGGCTGCAGAGAGGGCCTGCTGAATACAACCGTTGTGCACAGAGCGAAGAAATTTCAGACACCACCAAAGCTTCTCCTCGGAGGTGCGGGCACCATGGTGTTGAGCCCTACGTTTGACCTCGGAGCTGGCCTTGTGGAAGAGGCGCTTCATCTCGACCTCATCGCCCCATTTGTCGGCAGTCTGTGCAAAGCGGAGCTCATCAAGCACGATGCCCCACAGTGGGTGCCGAGGTACCCAACTTGGAATAATTGGGGATCGAGTTGGGCTGCTACGCTGCCGCCAAGTGAAGAAGACGGGAGTGTGGTCGCTCAAGTCGAAGCGGGGGAGCGCGGCAAGTCCAGGAGAGGCAACGCGAACGTCAAGATTGCTTAGGAGAGAGCTCGGTAGCGATGTAAATATGCGGTCGATCCGGCTGTACTGAAGATGTCCTGCAGCATCAACCCCTTTCCTCGTGAAATCGTCCTGCATCAGCTCGGTGAGCAGTTCAAGACATGGCAGCGTGTCAAAGGTGTCCCGTACGACGGTGCCAGTGAAGGTACCAGTGGTGGCATCAAACCGGTCGGACTCGCATGCAACCGAATTGAAGTCCCCAAGAAGAATGAGAGTGGCCTCAGAATAGGTACGAACCACCGAAGACAACTCTTCTAGTAGCTGCTGCCGGTCTCCCTCAACATGCACACCACATATCACCAGATGCCCCCGCGACCCAAGTAGAGACAGAGTACAGAGTCGACCAACGATACGTGGATTGAAGTTGATCTCTGGGAAGTCGGCGAGGAAGGTGCTCTTGACCGCAATCCCGATCCCCCCAGCATTCGGGGCAGCGTCAGAGTCACACCAGAAGAAACGATGGTCCCCACAAAGCTTCCGCTCAAGAGTTCTGCTTCTCTTCTGGGCAGAATGGGCCTCGAGGAAAATGGTGAAGTCGTGGCGGTAGGCGAGGTTTACGGCGTACCTGGATTTGAGTTTCTTGCGTTGCGGGTCCACGCAACACAAGCCCCGTGCATTCCAGACGCACCCGGAGAGGTCGCCCGAGAAATAGTTGGAGTCTCAAGTCTCAAGTCTCTGAGTCTCTAAGGCAAGCAGGCCTTAGGCATCTAGCCCCCAGGACTCCACCACTTAGTCTGTCCACGAACTTCCCAGGACATTCATGGCGCAGCTCAAGGACATCCAGACTCTGCTGGACACCGGTTTTGGAAAGTTGCGTCAGGATCTGAAGGGCGACATCATGAGGGAGATGGAGCAGCTGCTCGACACCAAACTCGAAGCCCGACTCAAGCAGCATCATGATGAACTTATGGAGGAGATCCGGAAGCTCCAGGAGAGAACCACGGCCTTGGAATCTCGAGCTGACGCAGGTGGCGTTGGCTCCAAGCGTGCACGCAGCGAAGGTCCTGGCTACCGGGCAACGCGCATCGACGACGACTCCGACAACGAAGTCCTCGTGCTCAAAGGCTTCCCATGTCCCATGTGGTCCAAGACGCTGGTCAAGCATGCTGAAACTGTCTTCCAGTCGCTTTCACCGAACACTCCGCTCCCCCAAATCCGCGCCGCCAGCAACACCAAGCACGCGCGCCTCATCTTCAACGACTCCGCTTCGGCGAAGGCCATCCTCGAAGAGTCCATCCGCGCTGGCCCACGGATTACTATTGGTTCGGAATCTATTCCACTTTCGCTTCAATGGGACCGGTCACCCGATGAACGCGTCCGGGGATGGGTAATCTCACAGTTATGGCAGAAGTTGGAGCAGCACATGACTACAAAAGGCCTCCACGGCCAGGTCGGGTGTCGACGTGGCAAGGGTGAGGTGTTCGTCGACGTTGGCGGCATGGGGCAGCTGATCACGATCTTCACGGTTCTCGAAGACGGCGTCTCCACCCGCGTGCACACCAACGGGCTCGACAAGGTGGAGCTTTCCCCAGAGACGGCGGCCTCGATGGCCTCCGAGGTGGATTCGCAGCGGCGTTCACGCTGATGGCGCCCACGGCGGCGTGACGATGCAGAAGAGCATGATGACATGCATCTTCCGGCATGGCCGGAGAATTCGACTAATTTATCGGGATCTGTGCACGCATCCTCCACTTCTTTCTCAATTCCTTCTGCGCCGGGGGCCTCGTGTTCATCGACGCGGGCACGCAGAGGGAGCGACGCGACTCCTCAGGCACGCTCTCCGGGACAAGCTCCGACAGCCACGTGTTCTTCAACGCGTCCGCTCAGAGAGCAGGGAGCTTTGCCTTTTGACCCTCTTCCTCCTACTTCTCGTTCTTCTTCCCGTGACACAAAGACACAAACATAAGCAACACACACGCACACACTCACCCATACGGACACACACACAGGCACTCGGCGACCACGGGCGGCGTTGCGGTGTAGTCCAGCAAACAAGCGCACGAGTGACCAAAAGAAACGACGGTCGCAAATTCCATGCAGGAGACACGGGCTAACGACAAAAACAATGAACAGAAGGGACAAACATTAACACAAGACACTTTCCGGGCGGGTAGGGAACAACACACACACAGACACTCACTTTCCGCTAACGCGCTCGTGCGGTCCAACCCGAGGTCATTGAGATTAAATGCTATCAGGTCCGACAATTATCTGACACCGTGTCTGCACCAGTGGGCGTGTTCGAATACTTCTCTGTTGTCTGCAGGAGTTGTAGTGTTTTCTAGGGCCGACCCCTCTGCCTGGCCTCAAACTCACCTGAAACACCAACCCCTCTGCAATTGCTCTCCGGCAGTCTTTACGGCCTCCAGAAGGCCAAGATGGACTCTAAGACGGCTTCCAAAATAGCTCAAGACGCCTCCTAGATGGCGTCAACACGGCCTAAGGGACTCCCGGCCCAAGAGTGTTCCGAGAGGTATTCCAGCAGAACCCGATCAGGCGAGAAGCAAACATAATCCTTGGGTGTTCAACCGACTTTGACATTATCACCTGCTTGGGTTCCAGAACGGCGCAGGAGCCTCCCAAGAGGGCCCCAAAACAGCCCTACAACGATCCTTCTCCTCCTCTACCGCCCTCTCCCCCACCGCACGGACGAAGACGAGGCCGAGTTCGCGATCCACCTCGGTTCAGACCGATCGCTGAACTGCAGCGGGGCGCGAACTCGACCTCCCCCTTGCAACGCGGACGAAGACGAGGTCGAACTCACGCCCCGTCCCGAGTCAGACCAATCGTCGAAATTGCGCCGCTCCTAATTTCTGGGGTGCGGAAAATTGCTGGCCGCGTGCCGTGATGTGCCGTGCTCGTGTCCCGTGCCGTTGCTGTGCCTAGTGTCTGGGATGCGGCGAAATTGCCGCCCGCTTGCCGTGCTTTGCCGTGCTTTATTTATGTGATGTGCAATAGCTACCGCCCGCGGACCGTGCCGTGCCCTAATCCCACCAGCCCTTTGGGCGTGAGTGGTTTAGAGAGCCCGCTCTGTTCTCAACCCTCCTTCCCCTTCGGGGAGGGGTTTACCCCTCCCCCTACCCCCTCCCCCTGGGCCTGGAGAGGTCCTTTCGCGGGTGGTCAGGGGGGTCCTTTTCGACTCCTGGGAGGGCTAAAAAACGACACCCCTCACGAGGATTCTGGCCCCGACGGGGGGGACCAGAAAAAATGCTCTCCTCTTCTTTGAAGCCAAAATCATTGGTTTTCCTACGGTTTTGGCCCCATTTTGGCCTTCTGAGGGGGCAGCGCTCATTACAGCTCCCCTCTTCCTTCAAGGCAGAATCATTGATTTTACTAAGGGTTTGGGCTCATTTTGCCCTTGTGAGGGGGCAGCGCTCATTGAAGCTCCCCTCTTCTTTGATCCATCCCCTCTACGATGGCCCCAAGAAGCGCCCAGGAGGCACCAAGAGGCCCCAAGATGGCCCCAAGAGGCCTTTTTTTTTTCACCCCAGATCCAGCGCCGCGGACTCCGCCACGCTGGAGGCTTGCCGCACTGAGCTCAGTGCGGCCCCGCGAGGCCCGCGGGCCTCACCCACCTCTCCTCGTGGGCACCATCTCGGCGGGGAGCGGCCTGCCCGTCTGCGGGTGGCAGCCGCGGAGGATGCGGTCTCGCCTCTTCCTCCTGGAGTCCGCTCCTCCGTCGGCCCCTCGCCGCGGCAGGGGCCCAGGACAGGCGCGGCCCAAACTGGCCCTCCTCACCGCCGAGTGGGCCCCGCACACGCGGCAGACGACGTAGGGGCCGACGACCTCCACGACATGCGCCATCCTGAGATCCTCCTCGGCGCTCGGCGGGCCCTCGAGGACAGGCGCGTCCGCCGCCTCCCTGCGTCTCCGGGGCGACCTCGACCTCCGAGGTGACCTCCCTGCAACACTGCCGTCTTCTCCATCATCTCCGCCTGCAGCTGCCGCCGCCACCGCCGCGCCAGCGCGGGCCGCCGCCGCTCCCAAGGCGCCGCCAGCCCCACGCCCTGCAGCCGTGGACGCCTCCTGCCTTGCAGCCCTCTGCCTCCGCGCGCATGCGGCTCCCACTCTAGCCTCCAGCGAGCCCCGCTCCTCGCTGGACTGGTGGCCCACCGCCTGCCAGGGAGGGGGTGCGCAAGCGGAGGCCCACAGCTTCTTCTTCATCCTGGCCGAAGCTGCACGCTTGCCGCACCGCGTGCACACCAGCCAAGCTCCACGCACCTCGACCTCGTGCCTCGTGAGGCTGACGTAGGGCCTCTGCTGCTTCCTCCTTCTGCTCGGCCCCGTCCTGGGCGGCACGTCGGGCCATCCTTCCTTCATCTCCTGGTACCACCAGCCGATGTTCTGGATGGCCCACTTCACCTTCTCATCCAGGCTCTCCAGGGTCTGCTCCCTGCCGTACCCGAAGTCCTCCGCGGCCCCACGCTTGGCCAGGGCGTCCACCGCCTCATTGCCCCTGGCCACTTGCTGCGCCAAGCCCTCGAGCCTGCTGATGGCCGCTCTGGACCTGTGGGCCTTCACATGCATCACCCACTCTGGCTCAAGCCCCACGTCCGCGATCTTGTGCCAGATCCTCCTCCAGACGTCCGCGTGCGGCCTTCCCCAGCTTAAGCACCACCTCGGCCCCCTCCTGATGCCGTCAAGGATGCCCTGGTGGTCCGTGAAGATCCTGCACGGCGGCAGCACCGTCTCCAAGGTCTTTAAGAAAGCCCACATCTCGGCCCTCTTGACCGTCTTCTGCTCCTTGAAGCGGCATGGCAGGGGGCCCCAGAGCTGCACCGTGGGGGCGCCTCCCGCGTCGATGGCCATCGCGGCCCACCCCGCCTGCGCCCAGCAGCTGGTGCCCAGCTTGGAGCCGTCGCACACGATGTCGCCCGACAGGAGGGCGTCCGCCCCCTGGAGGACGTCGCAGTGGAAGTCCGCCTCGTCGACCGACCTGTGGGCCCAGTCCGCCGCGGGGCCCCGCGCCAGCCCACGCGTCCAGAGCAAACTGTCCTCCTGCTGCTCCGCCACGTGCTGCCACTCCGCCTGCGCTCGCCTCCTGACCCCGAGCAGCGCGGGGCACCGAAAGAAACGATGATGCGGGGTGCCGACCGCCAGCCCACACCCAATGCAGATGTCGGTCGGCGTGATGCTGACCTCGGCAAGCCTGCTCATGGTCCAGGCCCCCGCCAGCACCACCTTCCGAGCCGCCCGCTTCGCATGCGCAGGGAAAGCCCGCGCGGCCAGCTGCGCCACCACTGGCGGGAGCCTCGGGCCTGGGGCTAGGCTCTCCATGCCTGGCTGCTGCGCCGTCCACTGCTCCCACAGCACTCTGCGCAGGTCAGCCCTGAGGAGCGCCCCGACGTCCGTGGGGCACACCGCCGTGAGGTCCACCATCTCGCCGTCCTTTGTGCAGTAAACCGTCCACGACGGCCAGGTCCACCTCGCTCTCCTCAGTGACATGATGACCGCCCCCGCGGGTCCTTTGACCTTGGCCCACTGCGGGCTCATGCCCACCTCCTTCTGCTGCTGCCTCCACGCGTTGCTCATCTGCTCACTCAGGAGGACAGCCTCACTGCCAACACTCGTCCTCCTGCTTATCTTGTCCTCCGCGATCTCCATTTGGCTGCCCGCCACCAGCAGCAGCTCGACCAGGCTCTCAATGGTGCTGACACCTAGGTAGCCTTCCTCTTCCTGCATGCCTCCTTCGCTTTCTTCCCAGGGACATTGCGCCCTTCTCGACACCAGCAGCCGCCTCACCACCTTCTGCAGCGCGACCTGCTCTTGCCTGTACTGCGAGATGACCTGGGCGCGGCAATCCTCGTCGAGCGCGTCGAGGTAACGGAAGGCTGCACGCCTTCTCCAGCACGCCCTCCGCCACGCACGCCGACACACTTCTGCAGCAAGACACTCCGCCTCCTGAGCCTCCTCCTGGGGCAAGCTTCCACCTGTGGCCTTGGGAACCGCCTCCCTCCTGAGTTCACTGCGGAGGCCTGCCTGCGCTGCCTCCTGCAGGTACTCCGCGACCAGGGGAACACTCCACTGGCTCCAGTCCTCCTGCCGCTGGTGCTTCTCGCCCCCCAGATCCTTGATCCACAGCGCCGTCCAGACACCGAGGGCATCCCTGAGCCTAGCACCCGCCTCAGGCCTGAAGGCCTGCTGGCGACAGGGTTGCACCTGCCCCTGGCCCCCTGCAACGAGCACTCTCAGGTCTCCTGCCACGGCCTGCTCCCAGACGGCCCTCGCCCACCTGACCACTGGCGCAAGTGTGGCCTCCTCGGTGGGGTCCTCCTTCAGCACCGCCAACTGCAGGGTGAGGCTCTTGGCTCCTCTCGAACCTGGAAGCAACTGGCCTGCCGCTCCCCTTACCTGCTGCAGCTGGTGGTCTGGCATGCCCAGGCACTTGCACCCATACATTACCGATCTCTTGAGGCCGCACTTGTACACCAAGCCAACCCCTCTAGTCACACCTTTGCCTGAGCCTTTCAGCCCCTTAAGCCTGGCGACCCTGTTCCTCATCCGCTTGAACCTCTTGCCACTCTTGTTCTTGGCCGCCGTCCCGTGGGCCACCACGTCGACTCCGAGGTAAGGGCAGGCCAGCACCAAAGGCAGCCCTCTCTCTCTGCCGCATCCTGCTTGAGGGCCTGTCTCAGCCACTTGGTGCCGGCCATGACCGCCCCCTTGCCCTGGTCGCCCAGGGAGAACTCGAGCCCCAAGGCCGCGAAGCCGTCCACGCTGTCGTCCACAACGGACGGGAAGCTGTCCACGATCCACTGCTGCGCCCCTCGCTGCTTGAGGCACAAATCGTCAACATACATCCTCCATTGCACCAACGGGTACTCCACAACCAAACCGTCAATCGTGTCCTGTATGACCATCTTGAGGAAACCCACCGAGAACTTGCTGCCCGCGATGATCGTAGCCACTGTCCTCGTCTCCTCCGAGATGGCCTCCCCCGTGTTGACTCGCCTCGCCATGGCAAAGTAGGAGCACACCACCGCCAGCACCCCCGTATTGAAGCCCATGGCCTTACCACGCTCCCACAGCACATGCAAGCTCACCCTCTCGAACGCCTTGACCAGGTCGAGGATGGCCGTCACCGTCGCTAGGGTGCGCGGGTCCGAATCCTGCACCTCGTCGCCCTCGTTGGCGAGGAGAACCTCCCAAGCCGCGTCCTCCGCCGCCTTGCCGAAGGCCGTGCAATCCCAAGAGCGCTGGTTCGCCTTGGCCCACTCGATCATGTAGGGCTCCCTCATGATCTCCCACACCCTCACCAGGGTCGGGAGAAGGCCGATGGCACGATCGACCGCTACGCTCTTCGGGATCAGGAAGAAAATGACCGTGGCTGCATGCAGCGGCCAGACGAGCGTGCGCTCCACCTCCCTCAGGATCTGCAGGAGCGTCCAGTGCGCTGCGTCCGAAGCCCCTTGCAGCATGGCGGGGTGCCAGCGGTCCACTCCTTGTGCTGTCTTTTTCTTGAAGGTGCGCGCCACTTTCTTTAACTTGGCCAAGTCGTCCTCTGTGAACTCTGGCAACTCCTGGCGCGGCTCCGTCTCCCACCGCCGCTCCTGCTCCTGCATCGGGTCGTTCACCTTCCAGACTGCGTTCCACTCCCCCAGGGCCGCTTCCGCTGCCCGCAACGGGTCTGCCGAAGCTTGGGGTGTACTCGCTTTCCTCGGCCTCCAAATGTCCACTGGTTTGCTGATTCTGTGGAGTCCGCCCGCTGCTCCTTTCGCAGCCTCCTCCAGCTTCGCAGCCCACTGCCTCCTTCTTTCATTTACCAGGGCCTGGTCCTCCCGCTTGGACCGCTCCTTGGCCTCCAGGATCATCACGTCCAGGCTGGCTTTCTGGTCAGCACCTCGCCAGCGCCCTTTCGCCAGCAGGGTACACCTTTCTTTCCACCGCTCCTTCTCCTCGCCGACCAGCTCACACCTGAACTCGTGGCTCACGCTCCTGAAGCGTTCCTCCAGATCACTAGCTATCATGCACCACTCCTGGCGCGCACGGATACTGCCCGAAGACGACCTGAGCCTCTCGTAGTTCCCCGCCAGGGTCTGCAAAGTGCGCGCGAGCCACCGCCACCACAGAGCGTCTCCTTGCGGGGCTGGGTGGTTGCCGCCTCCTCTGAGGATCGCTCTCTCTTTCCAGCGCGGTGGGTCCGCACGCCCTGCGCACTCATGCCTGGGGTGCCACTCCAGCCCCCGCAGCGCGAAAGCCTCGCGCTCCAGCTTGCCAATGAAGGAAGCCCAGGTCCTGGTCGCCACCGTCACGTCGCTGAAAACCCCCACCTCGTCGTATAGGGGCGGCTCAGGCGCGCACCCGATGCTGATTCCTTCCAACTTCTTCGGCGTGATGAGAATCCGCTCCTTCCTCTCCTGCGGCCTCAGGTCGAGCGTGATCCCCACCGGCTTGTGCGGCGCCGAAGGCCAAGACTCGTGGATGGCCACCTTCCTCACTTGGCCTGCCAACTCCCTCGATACTACGAAGTAGTCTATTGTGGAACATCCACTCGCAGACCGACAAGTTCCGCTCGCGGCAGAGGGGGCCACCAGCGTCGCGCCAATGAGCTTGATCGAATCCAAACCCGCCAGGACGGCAGGGGCATTCTGGAAGTCCCCGCACAGCACCCACGGCATGTTGAGCTCGTGCAGCTTCCCCAACACGTGGTCCATCAGCCCCCTGTTCCGCCGCGACATCTGCTCGGCCGTCCACAGGTACACCGTCGCCACCACGATGCCGCCTCTACCTACTGCTACCCATGCCGCTGCAGCTCTTCCTGGGGATCCTCTGGGGGACCAATCCCAGCTGCCCCAAAAGGGGACGAGGTGCCCGAACGCCTCACGCCACGAGGAGCCCGAACGACTCACACCAGGACGAGGGGCCCGAACGACTCACACCACGAAGAGCCCGAACGACTCACACCAGAAGGAGGGGCCCGAACGACTCACACCAGGACGAGGCGCCCGAACGACTCACACCACGAGGAGCCCGAACGACTCACACCACGACGAGGGCCCCGAACGACTCACACCACGAGGAGCCCGAACGAGTCACACCAGGAGGAGGGGCCCGAACGACTCACACCAGGACGAGGGGCCCGAACAACTCACACCACGAGAAGCCCGAACGACTCACACCAGGACGAAGAGCCCGAACGACTCACACCACGAAGAGCCCGAACGACTCACACCAGGAAGAAGGGCCCGAACGACTCACACCAGGACGAGAAACCCCAAACGACTCAAACCACGAGGAGCGCTTTCTCTCCCTCCTCCTCCGCCTCGTCCTTCTCCCGCTCCCACCACAAGGAGGATGTACAAGGAGGCGTGAGGAAGGAGGAACAGGGGAGATATGCGGGGGCAGGCGGAAACACGCCTGAAAAACACGACTGTCGGCATGCTTCGCAAGAGTTGCTGTTTTGAGATGGGCTGGTGGGGATACGCGAAGCGTAAAGAATTTCTAAATTCTGGAGTGTGGAAAAATACCTGCCCGCGTGCCGTGCCTTGCCGTTGCCGTGCTCGTGTGCCGTGCCGTGCCTTGCATCGCTGCTGGCATGCCGCAAACATGGCGACTTCTCGTTTGTTCTGTCACTTCCTATTAGTCCCCAACATCCCCCGGCACTGGGGGGAACCCCAGCAACAACTCCGTCAATGTTACCTTCAAGCGTGGCGCACTTATACCCGGGTCACAACAAGTCAGGGCATCTCGGAGCCAGGGATTCCGAGACTGTCGCAGACGAGACGGGCCTGAGCAAATCGCGGACCACGTCTTGGAACCCGTGAGAACGTCTCAAGCGAAACGGGTCAGAGCACCTCAATTCAGGGCATCTCGCAGAAGCCTGGAGTTCGGAAGATGTCTCACGCGAATAGGCCTGAGTACCGCGCGAACCACATCTTGGAGCCCAGGGATGTCTCAGGCGAAACGGGCCAGATCACCTCGCGAACCAGATCTTGGAACCCAGAGGTGTGAGCTGCGAGGATGTCGCAAGCCCAGCAGGCCAAAGATCCTCAAGTCAAGGCACCTCGGAGCCCAGGGTTCCAAGGATGTCTCAATCGAAACGGGCGTGAGCACCTCGCATAGTCAACCCAGAGTTGCGAGGACGTCTCAGGCCAAATGGTCAGAGCCAGGGATTCCGAGGATGTCCCAGGCGAAACGTGCCTGAGTGTCTCGCGAAACACAACTTAGAACCCAGAGTGGTGAGAAGGCTTGAAGCTAAACGAACCAAAGACATCTAATCAGGGCACCTCGAAGCCTGGGGTCCCGAGGATGTCTTAGGCAATACTACGAGCCTGAGTACCTCGCGAACCACATCTTGCAATTCAGAATTGTGAGAACTTCTCAAGCGAAACGAATCCTAACACATCAAGTCAGGGTAACTCACAGCCCGAAATTCCGAGGATGGCTCCCTGTGGGCCTTGGGGCGCACTCTTTTGAGGGTAACCCCTCCCCGGCTGTCCTAGATGACCCGGGCACCCAGGCTCAGGTGCACTGCCCCCCTGCCAGCCAAGACAAGCCCTGGATAGGGGCCCAAAACAACCCCAAAAGCCAACCGAAATGGCCAGCGAGGACCACACGGCCCAACACACACCTCCACCCCGTAAAACAAACGGAACGCTCGAGACATCCCCACAATCTGGGCGCGAACGGGCCCGTGACACACCCTTCGTCGGCAGAGAACCAGCCCGCATCACCAGGCAAGATCGAGCCGCGCCCAGCCCTGGCGACGAGAAGCGTCCCGAGAGCATTGAAAACAAGAGATCTTGTCTGACAGCAATACGACCGTTATCCTTTCTCCCCCTCGTTCTCAGTCATCCTGCTCCTCCTCCTCCTCATCCTCCTCCTTCCTCCTCCTCCTCCTCCTCCTCCTCCTCCTCCTCCTCCTCCCCCTCTTCCTTCTCCTCCCACTCCTCCTTCGCTTCGCACTCCTACGCGATTGCTCGTAATTACAGGGACGTCTCATGCGAAAATGGCTGGAACCCCTCGCACGCGGCATCTCTTTGCCAATAATTGCGGCGACGTCGCAGGACAACCTGACCAGATCAACATCGCGGGCGGCATCTTCAAACCTAGCGACAATATCTCAAGCGAAACGGACGAGGCAAACTCAGGTCACATTATCCCAAGCCCAAAAGTTCCCAGGATGCTTCAAGCGATATGGGCAGGACCACCTCTCGCGTAGCATCTGGGAACCCAGAATTGCTAGGAACTTCCAAGCGAAACAGGCTGGGCCATGTCAAATCTGGTCGTCTCGGAACGCAGAAAGGCGACGATGTGTCATGCGAAACGGACCGAACCACCTCAACAAATTGCCAATGTCTCGACGCGCGGGCCCCTCGGGCAGCATTCGCTCTTAACGCAACAATGCCCCCTTGGCACCGGCCGGGCGACCCCAGAACACTCCAAGGCAAACCCTGTTGAATGGAAACGAATGAAACATTCCCATATCGAGAATGCTTAAACTATTGCCGTGCGGTGCCATGCCCGAGTGCAATGCTGCGCCTGGTTTTAAAATGCGCAAAAAAGTTGCGGTGCCACGCACGGTTTCAGAATGCGAGACAATTGCCATGGCGACTATGTGTATTATCATGCAGCGTTGGTGTTTGGGGTCTCTGTGCCGATGTACTTCACTGTTCGCGGTGATGCCAGTTGCCAGGGCCGCCTCCAGCCCCCAAGTAACCTGACGCTTCGCGACGTCTGGACATCTTCAGGGGCATGCCGAACTCCCACCACTGCGTCGATGCAGTGGAGCTGCCGGCCCCTCTGGGGGCGCCCGTGATCGCCAGAAGGCGAATCCCCAAACCCGGAGATATGGCGTGGCGAAAACAACGGGAGCCCTAACGCCCATCTCTGTACGGAATTTGTCAAGCCAGATCGACCTGTAACGGTCCTGGGGCCCGAAGCCACGCGAAAACGCCCGCAGTGAAGAAGCTAAGTACAACGCTCGGATCTGAGGGTGTCAAGTGCTTCATCACGTTGGAGGTCTGGCTGTCAGGACATAGGTTTGCTCTCTCGCGGACGTTCGGGACGATTTGGGCATCCCCCTGAAAGCTCTCAGCAGGGTGCAGACCGCCGAAAACCGACGCAACCTCGAGCCTCGAACTTCCTCTCCGCTATTTGCCCGCCGAGGCCGCACGACAGCCCGCCAGAGAGAGCGCACGGCGCGGCGCCGCTCAGCCAGGCTTAGCCGCCGATCTGGGCGCCCGCGCGCCGGACCGCGGGCCTGCGTCTCGGGCCGCCGCCGCCCGCCGGCGAGAGCTGGCGCGGGACGTCGCCTGGAGCAGGGCGAGTTGAGACAAGGGCAGCTCGACATTGTAGGAAGCAATTCCCTGGGAGGGCTTCGTCAGCACGACGAAGGGCTACTCGGCCCGATCAGGGGGACATCGAGCGGGAGGAGGCCGGATAAAGCCACGGGTTGAGCCGGATCAAGCAGGATAGAGCCGCACTAAGCGGGAGTAAGCCACATCACAAGCGGGATCAAGCTGAGCAAACAAGTACCAGCGCCGATTCTGAATTGAACCTCCTATGAGTTGCATCTTAGGCAGAGAGAGCTAAGACAACGGCAACTCAAAATCGATCCCCAAACGCCTCCCGGGATCCAAAGGCTCCAAGTCTCCGAGCTGCGTCCCGTGGAAACGAGGGCCGCCCCCGGAGACCAACTACCGGTGTCTCAACTATAGCCCTCCCCTGACGCGCGGGAGTCGGAGCCGGAGGCCGAGCAGCTGGAGGGGATGGGGGCTTGCCGCGCGCAGCGGGTGGCCTCTGGGCAGGCGTGGCCTCTGGCGCGCCGGCTTCAGGGGGCAGACCGCAGGGGGCGGCCGAGTGCCCGAGCGCACGGGCCCGATGCTGCGGGGGACCACGCTGGCGGAGGGCCACGCATGCGCGTAGACGAGGGAGGGGGTGGAGAGGGAGAACAAGAGAGAGAGAGAGAAAGAGATCTGCGACCGTGCCCTCGGCACGCTGGGGCGCATTGGAATGCCTGTCTGTTTTCTGGTAGGGTTCTGGTACGCTTTAACAATTCAGGCCGACCGCCCCGCCTTCCCGCTGCTAGCGCGTCTTGTCAAAACGGCCGCCCCCCGAGAACCCTCGATAACCGCCTCCGTGCCCCTGGCACGCTGAAGCGTGGTAGGGTGCCAAGTTCTGTCTAGTGGGGCTTCTGATATCTTCTCGAGGCCCCTTCCCCTGTCTCCCGGTGGCACCCAAGCGCGTGCATCACCCCCCGTCCCCGAGGCTCGCGGCGGCCCGACGCTTCCCTGGGGCTCTCGAAGGCGTCCAAGATGCCCAACCAAGACGGCGTCCCAGACGGCCGAGGCAGGCCACCACCGCCGCACTCCAGGACAGCCCGAGATCGTCCCAAGATGGCGTCAAGACGGCCCAGAAGGCCCCCTAAGACAGCACAAGAGATTTCTTACAGGAACCAGTAGGACTCCACGAGATCATGACGATGGCTTTCCAAAGTATGTCCGAAACGATTTCGCGTTCTCACCTCTTCGGGGCCCCGCGAGCACAAGACGGCCCAGGAGGCCTCCAACATGGCCCGAAGACCCAAAGACGGCCTCCAAGGGGTCCAAGAAGCTTTCAAAGTGGCCCACGAGGCCCCCATGACGACCCATCAGGACCTCAGAGGGCCCATGGGGCTCCAAGACGGACTCCGAAGGCGCAAGACTGCCTAAGAGCGCGCCGCCTCCAATCAGGAAAACGACGACGACGAAGGAGGAAAGAAGAGGCGAAAGAGGCTGCGGACAAGGAGATGGTGTTCAAGAACACCTGCGCCTATTCAAATTAGGCGCTGCGCTGGAGCGGGTCTGAAGCTCAACGCCCGTCCTACTGCGCTGCTCCGCTGGCACGGTGTCGGAGCTTTGGCACAGGCAAGCGGAGATAGACTTGTGTCTATGTATGTATATATCTATAGACTATACTATACACTATACACATACTAGAACCATCGCGCCCGCTTCGTGCGCGCGTTCAGGTCCTAGCGCAGGCCAGGGGTCGTTGGGAGAGCTTGGACAGCGCTGTCAAGCACAAGCGTGAACACGATCACGATCGCGCGGTGATCGCGTGATCGGCCCCTCGGTCACGTGCGCGATCTGCGAGACAGAGGCGCACGCTCATTGCGTGGCCCCCTACAGGGGCTACGCGGTGTGCCACGCCTGGCACGCCGAGCGGGACCTCGTGGTGGCGCGACGGTGGCCAGCCGGGCGTGCACCTGGCTGCGACCGTAGGGAGGACAGCGGCAACTTCTGCCCAGATGGTCGGCCACATCCTTGGCGCCACCATCTCCACGGCAACCGCAGGAGTTCAGCGGCTGGCGCTGGTCGCGGCCGCAGGTGCACGGCAGACTTGGAGTGTAGGCGCGATGATGCCGCGCCCATTCTTGCCGATCACTCGGCCCAACATCGAAGGCGCTGGAACCTGGCTGGCCCCGACGGGCCAAGATGAGCAACATGAAGGTGTGTTGGGACTGATTCTGGCGGAGCTTCGCGACCTCCGCCTTCAGGTCAAGCTCGGTCGGCGAAATGCCGAACTTGAGGCGGAGCGGCTTGCCGAGCGCGCCAGGGCAGCCGCTCCATCCGCGGGGGTACCTCACCCCGACCGCCGCTGACCACGGGGAGGTCGCGGTGCCAGACTCTCCCAGCTCAGAGGTGCCGCCGACGGCCACGGCGAGCAGAGGCCGAAGTGAGCAGGATGGCGGTGCACATGTGGTACTTGGCGACGGTGCTCCTGCCGCAGGCGATGGACTGATCACCCAATCGTCGGCGACTTTGGAGCTCCTCGCCGGCGGAGGGCAGGAGGTGGACAAAAGGGCGGACTCTTTCGGCGCGCAGGCGGCGCTTGCAGCGACTACGACGACTTGGGCTACGATTCCGCCCGCTGCAATTTCCGCGCCTGGGGCTTCGACCTCTGCCCCAACAGAGCAGCAGTAGCCGCCCGGTGCAGGTGCTGCCGCAGTATTTGCATCAGATGGTTTTTCGGGGTCCGCCGCATCGCATCGGCTCCTGCCTCGGCGATGCTTGCGGCCGAGGGCCCGCCGGCGTAGGCCGCCGCCCAGGCGACCAGACCTTCAGTTGCGCAGCTGCCGCTGCAGCCTCCTCAGCCGCTGCAGCAATCTGGCAGGTTGCCGCCTGGGCTGCCGACGCCGTGGCCTCCGGCAGGCTTGCCGGCGCCGTTTCCTGGAGCTGGAGGCGGGGAATCTACTGGAGCTGGAGGCGGAGGAGGAGGCCCCGGAACTGGAGGCGGCGGGGGCGGAGGCTTCCCGAGTGGGAGCGGCGGAAGACCAAGCGATCCAGGACACGGGCACGGAGGAGGCACACCGATCGGAGGTGCACCGCCCCCTCCACCATCTCCTGGCGGCGCCGCCGCGGCTGCAGCCGCCAACGTCCCCGACAGAGCGATCGGCCTCGACGCCGTCTTGGCCAAGCTGAAGGGCGGCAACTTGCAGAAGTTGGAGGTGTCTCCAAACCAACCTCGGGCCTCGGCCTTGGATGATTGGTTGCAGCGGGTTGCACTCCGGGTCGGAGGGTGGCCCCGCTTGATAGGCAGCTTTCTTCCAGCGTGTCCAGGTGGTGGCGTGCCAGGCGTAATTATGAGGAGTATCTGAAGCTCCAGCCACGGCTGCATTGGCACGACGACGCCCGCTACCTGGACATCGAATCCAATCTCGGCGGCGCTGCTAGAAAGCGTGCAAGGGACCGTTCGGCGACGCGAGCCACGGGCCACGAGTACGGTGGAGGTGCTGTTCGCGACGCTGGTGTGGGCAAGCCCAGGGACGTTGAAGGACAAGACTGACGCGTTGGAGGCTGTCGAGCGCCGGGGGAAGGGCCCCGTCGACATCAAGCGCATCCATTCGTGCTTGCAGCGTTGGGAGTTCGATCTTGTTCGTCCACAGCGCCTGCTGATCCAGCCGCCCGACCCGATCGTGCAGCTTGCAACGCTTCGGACGATGGTTGACCGCGATTGAGCAGTCCCACAACTTCCAGTGCCGCCTGAATTCGTTCGAGACGCAGCACGCCTTGAGCGGCGCTTCAACGGTGAATCAGCGGCAGGTGGAAGAGCACTGGAGGTACCTGTCCGCGGAGAGCCGCGAGATTTCGGACACGCCGCCCCCGCCGCCTAAGCAGGCCGCTGCTGGTGATCGCGGGATCTGGGCCCAGATCACTTGCTTGGAGGCCGCCCTCGCTAGCGCAAAGGCTTCGGCGAAGCCGAGTAAGTATTGACGGCAGGGACAAGGGCGGCAAGGGCAAGGCAAAGAACGACAAAGGCAAGGCTGCCGCCGCCGCTGCGGGCCTCGAGCTGTCCCGGCACTTCGAGTCCGATAGGGGCTGCAGCAATGGAGGGTAGCGCACTTGGAAGCACCGCATATTGGAGCCCCGCGAGGGTAATTGCTTCAACTGCGACAGCAAGCATCGCCCGAAGGCACAATGCACTGCGCCTCGGCCGGCCGCTGCCGCCAGGGGGCAGCGGCAGCCTCCTAGAGCAGCTGCAGCCGCTGCTTTGGAGCAGCGCCCTGAGCAGCCTCTGAACGCCAAGTGCATCGAGCAGGCGGTCTTTGCGCTGCCCGACGCGCGCCCGCCGCCGAAGCAGCCGCGGCAGCCTGTCATGCGCATACTGCGCCTGGACATCCAGAGTAACACCGTCGCAGCGTCGCGCCATGGATGCATCTGGGTCGGGATGCTGCTGCGCGACTCCAGCGCCAGCCACGAACTGCAGCATCTCTGGCCTTCCCGGGCCCGCCGCCAGGCAACGTGCCAATCAGGCTAGGCCTGGCCGTAGGGCAGGCTGCCGGTGAGGTCTACATGTCGAAAGACCAAATGGTGTACGCCGTGTCGTCGAAATGGAGCACGCCTTGTTCCCCACCTCCGTGTGCGTCCGCGAGCTGGGGTTGAACATGCTGTGGAGCCCAACTCGCGCGGTTATCCAGGTGCCGGGTAGTCGCGCCGTCGAGCTCGTCGGTGACCGCGACAATTCGGTTTTCATCTGGGAGGCGAAGGCCGAAGAGCTCTGAGGCATGCGCCGCACGCGCCGCGGGCAAGTCGGCGCGTCCAGGCTCGTGGAGACTGTGCGGTCCGCCATGGTGCAGCAGAGCATGGAGCAAGGACGCGATGCGGGGCATCCACATTTTTGCCCAGACTGCGCGGAACGCCGTTTAGCCTCAGGGCTGCTTCGCCCTCGCTGGCGTTTGAATGCCTGCGCGCGGCCAGGTGGGCAGCTGTCGGCAAACATCTCTGGTCCATATCCGCGCGCGCTGTGGCCGTCGGCGCTGCAGGAAGATTGTCATCGCAAGGCCCGCTTCTTCTTCTTCTTCTTGCTGTGCGCGTAATCTGTCTTCAGTGCGGCCGAGCAGGACGTGGCGGCCAAGAACAAAGCTTCGCGCAGGACAGCTCCAAGGTGGAGGTGGACAAGGAGGATTGCGCTGCAGATTCAGGGAGCGCTGGGAACTCGGCCGGAGGGCCAGCCAGCGCGGTCATTCAGCGAGTGCCGGGGCTCGAGGCGATGGCGCTCGCAGCAGGGCCAGGCGGGATCGACGGCGAGGTCATCGAGCAGCCCGCGGAGCCTGCGGTGGACCTGCCAGGCGACGCGGCGGAGGGCCGCCGCACGCGGCATTAAGCGCGTCCGCTGCAGACCAAGGCGGCCGACGAGGTGGGGAAGGCTTTGGAGATCATCGTCGCGGAGGTGAGCCTGGAATATCAGACCCGGTGCGCCTTTCGACTTCATGCTTACGGGGCTCGCGAGTTTCGGGACCTCGAATTCGCGAGCGAATGGCAGGGCATGAGGTCCTTGTCACGAGCACGACCGGGTGGGGACCCAATAACAATGGGCGCGCTGAGAAGGGCATCGGGGTCATCGAGCAGCGCGCCCGCGCAATGTTGGCCGTGCCGGGGCCGGCCGACCGCGAGCAGCTTTGGCCCGC